AAAAAAAAAAAAGAAATGCATACAGAGTTCCAGATTTGCAAGATGAAAAGTTCTGGAGATCTGTTTCACAACAATGTGAATATACATAATACTACTAAACTGTACACTTAAAAATGGTTAAGATGGTATAGTTTACATTATTTTATTTTTTTAGAATGTATTTATTTTTTAATTTACATCCAAGTTAGTTAGCATATGGTACAACAATAATTTCAGGAGTAGATTCCTTAAACCCCTTACCCATTTAGCCCATGCCCCCTCCGACAACCCCTCCAGTAACCCTCTGTTTGTTCTCTATATTTAAAAGTCTCTTATGTTTTGTCCCCCTCCCTGTTTTTATATTATTTTTGCTTTCCTTCCTTTATGTTCATCTGTTTTGTATCTTAAATTCCTCATATGAGTGAAGTCATATGATATTTGTCTTTATCTGACTGGCTAATTTCACTTAGCGTAATACCTTCTAGTTCCATCCACAAAGTTGCAAATGGCAAGATTTCATTCTTTTTGATTGCTAAGTAATACTCCATTGTATATATAAACCACATCTTCTTTATCCATTCATCCCTCGATGGATATTTGGGCTCTTTCCATACTTTGGCTATTGTCGATAGTGCTGCTATAAACATTGGGGTGCTTGTGCCCCTTCAAAGCAGCACACCTGTATTCCTTGGTAAATACCTAGTAGTGCAGTTGCTGGGTCATAGGGTAGTTCTAGTTTTAATTTTTTGAGGAACCTCCATACTGTTTTCCAGAGTGGCTGCATCAGTTTGCGTTCCCACCAGCAGTGCAAAAGAGATCCTTTTTCTCCGCATCCTCACCAACATCTGTTGTTGCCTGAGTTGTTAATGTCAGCCATTCTGACAGGTGTGAGGTGGTATCTCATTGTGGTTTTGATTTGTATTTCCCTGATGATGAGTGATATTGAGCATTTTTTCATGTGTCGGTTGGCCATCTGGATGTCTTCTTTGGAGAAGTGTCTATTCATGTCTTTTGCCCATTTCTTCACTGGATTATTTGTTTTTTGGGTGTTGAGTTTGAGAAGTTCTTTGTAGATTTTGGATACTAACCCTTTATCTGATATGTCATTTGCAAATATCTTCTCCCATTCTGTCGGTCACCTTTTAGTTTTGCTGATTGTTTCCTTCACTGTGCAGAAGCTTTTTATTTTGATGAGGTCCCAGTAGTTAATTTTTGCTTTTGTTTCCCTTGCCTCCAGAGACATGTTGAGTAAGAAGTTGCTGAGGCCAAGGTCAGAGAGGTTTTTGCCTGCTTTCTCCTTGGGGATTTTGATGGCTTCCTGTCTTATGTTTAGGTCTCTTACCATTTTGAGTTTATTTTTGCGTATGGTGTAAGAATGTGGTCCAGGTTCATTTTTCTGCATGTTGCTGTCCAGTTTTCCCAGCACCACTTGCTGAAGAGACTGTCTTTATTCCATTGGATATTCTTTCCTGCTTTGTCAGAGATTAATTGGCCATATGTTTGTGGGTCCATTTCTGGGTTCTCTATTCTATTCCATTGATCTAAGTGTCTGTTTTTGTGTCAGTACCATACTGTCTTGATGATTACAGCTTTGTAGTAGAGGCTAAAGTCTGGGATTGTGATGCCTCCAGCTTTAGTCTTCTTCTTCAATATTACTTTGGCTATTCAGGGTCTTTTGTGGTTCCATACACATTTTAGAATTGTTTATTCTAGCTCTGTGAAGAATGCTGGTGTTATTTTGATGGGGATTGCTATTTTACATTTTTAAACCACAATAAAAAAAATAGCTCTGGGGACCAAAATGATCAAAATCAAACTGAGTTCTCTGATCATGCTTAGTCACTAGGTACAACACCTTGAGTTTTGTTATTGACAACTCTGAATTCCTGCTTGTGCAGGAGTCCAAATTTAATAAATACAAAATCTTTTCTTTCTGCCTCTCCTTAGGTATCATCCAGGTGAACAAGACAGTGGAAGAAGTAGCAGTACTATCCTGTGATTACAACATTTCCACCAAAGAACTGACGGAAATTCGAATCTATTGGCAAAAGGATGATGAAATGGTGTTGGCTGTCATGTCTGGCAAAGTACAAGTGTGGCCCAAGTACAAGAACCGCACATTCACTGACGTCACCGATAACCACTCCATTGTGATCATGGCTCTGCGCCTGTCAGACAATGGCAAATACACCTGTATCATTCAAAAGATTGAAAAAGGGTCTTACAAAGTGAAACACCTGACTTCGGTGATGTTATTGGTCAGAGGTCAGTGGGATTTTTCTGATTTACTATAAACTGGCAGACTGCTGATGCCCTTAAAGACATACTCCTATTGATTTAGGAGTATTGAAACATTGAAAATGTTACCAAGGAGGGATGTATCTGCATTTAGGGTTAAGTAAGTCTATAATGTTACAATAAACCCTAAGTGATCTCTCAAGACATTCTAGAAATATTGATTAGTGTGTATTTCTTGCATTTTGACAGTCCAAATTCATGGCAGTCATCCTGAAGTGCCTTCTGAATCATAAGGGGACACATTTGATTTGATGTAGCTGTACTATTAACTGCTCTTGCTCCAGTAATATATTCTTGTGAAAGTATATTCAAAGGTATAAGAACAATGCAGGCATAAATATTTTTCAAATAGTATTTGAATGCCTATTACTATGGCTACTATATTATTTATATTTATTATTATATTTGAGGCTCACATATAATGGTTATTCCTACAAAGTTACACATTAGAGGATTAGATACATAATTTATGTGGCCGGGAAGAAAATTCATAAATCAAAGTCCTACTTATACGTCTATCGTGAAGGCAAGCATTTCTTGGATAGGAAGGAATCTTGCGTTTATCACAGGTGGTAGTTCTAGAGGATACTAATATAGCCTGAGCCCCTTGCTGAGAAATTACAGCCCTTGACCATTCCCTCATACTTGAAATTCAAACACATTTCTTTTTCTTCCTGGACACTTGGGCCTTTAGTGGAAACTAAACCTATTACTTAATGAAAGATAATCATTAACCTTGATAACAGATCATGTAAGTGGATCCTTGGCAAATTCTTCACTATTCTTCTCTGCAGTCTGCAGCTATTTTGAATCTTTCACTTTAGCACCCAAATCACAGTTAAAGCTTAGGAAGTGAGCCAGTTGTATAGAATTATCTTAAACCTCACTCTGTACTCCCTACTCATGAAGACAGCAATAATTATATAGGGGTGTGATTTTAGGTGTTCTTCAAAGCCCACCTTCTCCAAAATTCTAACCTGCATTGATTCTGAGAATCCCCACCATTATTGCTGCTCCTGCTTAGTTTCAGCACTTTTCCCCCTATGAGATCTCTGTTAAAAATGAAAATGTTTTACCTGGGGAGGAGGTAGCACCACAAACATATTAACCTGTATTAGTTAACGCATTGGCTATAGTCCTTCCTCTAATGGAATACCTAATGGGAAGTTGACTTAGGACTATGTACATTTAAAAAATTTTTTTTTCAATATATGAAATTTATTGTCAAATTGGTTTCCATACAAAACCCAGTGCTCATCCCAAAAGGTGCATTTTGATAGAAGGATGAAGAATAAAACCCAAGAGGGAAAAGAGTCGGAGTCTCAGGGAGTGCAAGACTACAGCAGGAGACCAAGGTCAGCCAAGAAGGCAACACGAGAGTGCTAGGGGCCTCAAAAGGGCCAGGAGGGGGTGCCGTGGTAGGCACAAAAGTCAGAAAGGGGAAGACAAAAAGGGAAGCTTCACTTGCTTCATTTGACTCAGAACCAATCAATTCTGATTTTTCCATCTCAGTCAGTTAGAGCAGTGCTTCTCAAATGTTAAGGTTCCTATGAATCACTTGGAGATCTTATTAAAACACAGAGTCAAATTCAGTAGGTCTGGGGTTGGATCTTCAATTCTGTGCCAACAGACTACCAAGTGATGCCTATATGGCTACTGTATGGTACGGTATGGCACAGTGATGGTATGGTATGGATGGTATGGTATGGACCACAGTTTGAGAAACAAGAAATTAAATAATCACTTGTTTGACAAGGGTGATCACTGTCCCACTTTGCCTAAGACTGAGAATTTTCCTCAAACGAGAGGTTTTCAGTGCCAAACCTGGGAAAATCTCAGGCTAACCAGGACAAGTTGGTTTTTCTACATTTGCCTAAGATTGCAAAATGATATTATATCAGCATAGCAGTATATAAAAGCCTCCATTAACCAGTATTTGGAGGAAATAGCTATACTAGTTAACAGATTAACTAGGATAACAGATTTTTAGCTTTCTAACATATGTGCACCTCTTCTTCCAGTAAGATATTTTTACCCTACCCATTAAGATTGGTGAAAACATGGGTTTAATTCATTAAAATGAGATACAAAGGAGTAATTCTTTGATAGTTCACAGTCTTGCAAGGCCTTAAGTACTATTACTTGATATGGATCACCTCCCTGAAGCGATAGGAGATAGCTGAGGCTGTTCTAAGCCTAGCCAGACCTTGCAAAGATGGTTTTTAATAGATAGAATATTTTTAATATTCTTGTGGTTAAGTATCTCTCAGAAAAGCAGCATGCAGAAATGAACATGAATCATAATTTAGGATATGACTTACTTGGATTTGTTATTCCAGGTTAAAACACATAACAATGATGTTATAAGAAATAAAGGGAATATTCTTTTTTTTTTTTTTTTTTTTTTAAGATTTTAAGTAACCTCTACACCCAACTTGGGCCTTGAACTTACAACCTCAAGATCAAGAGTTGCATGCTCCACAGACTGAGCCACCCATGTGCCCTACAAAGGGAATATTCTTGGTGTCAGCTACCATTGTAATGATCTCATCTTATAAGATAAATTTAAGAAGTAGAAATGTCAAACTAAAAATGGTTCAGGAAAATGTCAAACTTAATTTAGAGACAGAGTTGATTCAAAAAAGGTGACTTCACCTCCAACCAAATGCAAGCTTTTCTTTTTCCTGGCAATTCTAATCACTTGACATAACTTCCCCTTTCTCGTATTATTCACAGTTCTGCCAGGCGGTTTGGGAAGTTTTCCCCTGAGCAACTTGATATAAACAAGGGAGCTCATCTAAGAGGGCAAATTTGAGACCCACCTAAGTCAGTCTATTAACTGATTTCCTGTGTGTCAGGCTCTGTGCTTTATGATTTATATTAATGATGTCATTTAATGCTTACAACCCTGGAAGGCAAGTGTTATTATCCCCATCTTACAGATGAGCAAAGTAAAACCGAAAGTGGTTAAGCGATTGGCCCAGGGTTAAAGGGCAAAACTGGTTTTAAAGCTTGCTGTTGGATCTTGGCCAGTCTGTGCCTTAAAGGAATCTTTAGTAATCATGTATGGTTCACAGATGGTCTTTTCAAAAACCCCAACTTTCTGGAGAAGCACAGTCCTCATGAGTGGCTTCAGTTTTGCATTGTTTGTCTTGTATTAAAAGAAAATCCAAGTGGCACGATTTGTTTACATTGTGATACTTTTTTTTTTTTAAGTAGGCGTCACACCCAGCACAGAGCCCAATGCCCATGCGGAGCTTGAAATCATGACCCTGAGATCAAGACCTGAGCTGAGATCAAGAGTCGGACGCTTAATCGACTGAGCCACCCAGGCATCCCAATGATACTTTCTAAATAAACTCTTAAAAAAAAAAAACAAAAAACCTGCTGTTGATTACTATTATGCTATACTACACCTCTTTGTGGAACTCCAAATTGTGAAAAGAAAACTAACTGTATGGATGGGATGAAGTATCTGGGGCTTGGTTCCCCACATTCAGGCTGAGAAGTATAAATTTCTTTAGGCCTAAGAATAAGGAAGAAAACGGGTAAAGGAGCTTTCTCCCATGTTCTCTGCAGTCATTTCACCATGCTTTGTTTTGTATATGCTTTCGTATCTCATTGGGAGTCAAATATACAAATGAAAGAGTGCCTCAAGTATCTCAGAGGAATGCTAGGAAGTCTCTTCTGTCCTTGTAACACATATCAGAACAGCAAGGGAGTCAGCAAAGTATAGTGGTTGAGATCACAGGCTCAGTGTTGTACAATTTGGACAGAGGTTTATCTTATTAAAGACTACTTTTGAAAAAGTAAGAGCATGCTAAAGAAAATTTAGAGTAGTGGTTATCTCAAGTGTGGGAAATAGGGAGACAACAAAGGCGTGACCATACAACTAGATTTGCATAAGTTACAGTCAATGTGCTGGCTTTCAAGTTGGATGTGCTGGCTTTCGTGGGTGTTTTTTACAGTATTAATTAATAAATAGATCAATAAAAGCCATTTTATCTACCTCAAACATTAGGAAGAAAGGGAAGAAAAGAAAGGCAGGAAAGGAAAAGAGAAGAAAAAGCAGGCAAGAGAAGAGAAGAGGAAGAAAAGGAAGGTTCTGGTATCAGAAAAATTTGGATTGATACCCCAGTTTTGCCACTTACTCATGATTTCTCTCAACCTCAATCTGATTATAAAATGTAAATTAGGTTAAATCATATGAAATTGCTGATATTTGGTCTTTCTTGATGTATACCTGCCTCCTAGGGTTGTTGTAGAGATGAAATGAAATAGTGTCCAGACCTAAAAAACATTAAGAGTTCAATAAATGTTGTCTATTGTTTTTCTCTTCACTGCTTACAAACGCAAATACTATGTCTATATCTATTCATATAAATCTACTTCTTTCTATAAGTGGTCTCCTACCTCCATCAAAAGTGATGAAGAATTGGGGTGCCTGGCTGGTTCAGTCGGAAGAGCATGGGGCTCTTGATCTCAGGGTCATGAGTTCGAGTCCCACATGGGGTGTAGAGATCTTTTAAAAAAAGTGATGAAGAATTGTTATACCCAATTCAAACCAAAGTTAATCTTTGGATCATACAGAAGTATTAATGATTTGTGGGAAGTTGTAAATTATATCTCATTTTATTATTCTTATCAAAACCAGATAATTTATTTAAAAAAAAACAACAACCTCACTTCTCCCACCCCACCCCCAATACATAACAATATGTACTTACATCCTTGTTCTTTCTTTAGCTGACTTCCCTGTCCCTAGTATAACTGATCTTGGAAATCCATCTCATAACATCAAAAGGATAATGTGCTTAACTTCTGGAGGTTTTCCAAAGCCTCACCTCTCCTGGCTGGAAAATGAAGAAGAATTAAATGCCATCAACACAACAGTTTCCCAAGATCCTGAAACTGAGCTCTACACTATTAGCAGTGAACTGGATTTCAATATGACAAACAACCATAGCTTCCTGTGTCTTGTCAAGTATGGAAACTTAATAGTATCACAGATCTTCAACTGGCAAAAATGTAAGTAACATTGTTCTGGGGAGTTTCTACTATGTAAAATCTAAAAAGAAAATAACTCAGCCAGATACATTGTAGAATTATGCATACTGACTTTGATAGCATTTCCTGTAGTATTTTTAGACCCACAAATGTTATGGTGACTTAAGGTCACTGTATAACGTGTGACCATAACGTTACTAGACTAATTGTTTTTAAAATAAACTTTCTAAAATTGAGACATCCAAATATCAAGTGGCCAGCTTAGGAAGTCATTGTAACAATAGTGTTGATATCGAAAGCACTAAAATTTGTCCTTCTTTGGACTTGCCATTAGGGCTTTGGTGCTTTCTTTTTGGGTACCTCCTTCCCATTGTCCCATGGTGTCAAATAATTGTCTTTTGTGGGTGAATGTGCCTTTTAAGAACTACTGGTTCATTCAGAACCAAGTCTGGTAAAGAAGGTAAATGACAAGATACTTGAGGACAATGCCTGAAAAGAAGGTCATTTTTGCCGAAACACCATGACCAAATACTTTACCCTTCAGGTAGTAAACATACAGAATTTTCTGTCCCCAAGAGGTGAAATCATTTGAAAATATAAAATGGGAAAAGCTGGGCTTATATCAATTTATGCATGTTAAACCCTTAGTAGGTTATTACAGAACTCAGATACTTGAAATAAGTGTCTAACTTCTATGGCTGATTATATGGAAGACCAGCAGACCTCTCCCTCACCCCCTGAGCCCACTCCTAATGACATGTTTTGTGGATGCATAGTAATAAACAATATACTGAATCTGATATACACTGAGTGGCACATGGATACATAGTATAATATATAATGTATAGCGTGTCTTCCTCTTATCTTTACTTGTAATAGAGGAGATATTTTAGATGGTCTAGTAGCTCATTCTAGCTAATGAGCTAGATTTACTGTAGATCTTTCCTTCTTGAGGTGAACTCATTCATTATTTTTCTCAATAGGTAATGAGATAAAATTTCCTGGGAAAATTAGTTCAAATGCAAACACAGTTTTGACATGTTTTTATTAATAGTCCAAGCTCATTTCTTTCCATCATCTTTTATGTGTTCTAAAAAATTTATAAAAATGAGATTTGAATCATATAGCTTATTAATTCATTTTCTTTTCTTTTTTTTTTTTTTAAATTTTTTTTTTACATTTATTTATTTTTGAGACAGAGAGAGACAGAGCATGAACAGGAGAGGGGCAGAGAGAGGGGGGTACACAGAATCGGAAGCAGGCTCCAGGCTCTGAGCCATCAGCCCAGAGCCTGACGCGGGGCTCGAACTCACGGATGGCGAGATCGTGACCTGAGCTGAAGTCGGACTCTTAACCGACTGTGCCACCCAGGCGCCCCTAGCTTATTAATTCAGCATTACTTTTCACTTTATTAATATATCATTATTTAATCAATTTTAGATTATTGTGATTAAGGCAGGGAGTAAGTAGTCCACAGAAGGGTAATAGCTTCAGTTATCTTATTTTGGACATTATATTTGGACTATGAATGTATATGATATTTTAGGACAGTAATTGGCAAATATTTTCAGAAAAGTAATATTTCAGTAAATATTTTAGTCTTTGTAGGTCATATGGTCTCTGGATGGCACCAACTCAATTTTGCTCAATTTTACAGCATGGAAGCTGCCATAGACAAGACATAAATGAAGGCTATGGCTGTGTTCAAACAAAAGTTTATTCTAAAAAAGAGGGAGTAGGCCAGGTTTGGCCTGTAATTTGCTAACTTACAGGAAACAGAATGTAGCCCATTCAAATAAAAGGATGGAGCTGCTATTTAAAGATGATTTAGACCACCCAGCTTTATCATCTTTTCCCTAATATGCCTTCTCTCAATTCTTCCCTCAAGCTAAGGATGAACAGTATCCCTTTTCCGTCTAATGAAAAATACTAGCTCTTTACCCTCTTTGGTCTACAGTTACAACAATTAATGGAAAGATGATTAAGTACATGTGTTTGTTCATTTCTTTGTTCATTCAATCTTTATTAAGTAGTTATCAGCTATTAAGCATCTTGATAGATACCAGCCTTGATGGTCAGAGAGCTTTAGTATATCAATACTTTAAATCTCATTTATTGAACTATAGTCATCATTAAGAGTCAAAAGCAAATAATGCATTTGTGGCTGGTCAAGGGCTGACTGCATAAACAAACAAAAATTAGGCATACAGTTCATAGAAATATTATAAGTCAATGTGAGTGAAGCTTTACTATGTAAGTACCCACTCAAAAAAAATACACCCAGGGGCACCTGGGTAGCTTAGTCAGTTGAGTGTCCAACTCTTGACTTTGGCTTAGGTCATGATCCCAGGGTCATAGGTTTGAGGATGCATGTCATGCTTAACACCTAGCGTGGAGCCTGCTTAAGATTCTGTCTTTCTCCCTCTGCCCCTCTCCCCTGCTCGCAAGCTCGCTCTCTCTCTAAAATAAAAAAATAAAATAAAAGTTAATTAATTTATTAGTTAAAATTTATTTATTAAATTCATTAATTTATTAATGAAAAACACACATATTTATTTTTTTTAAATTTTTTTTCAACGTTTATTTATTTTTTTTGGGACAGAGAGAGACAGAACATGAACAGGGGAGGGGCAGAGAGAGAGGGAGACACAGAATCAGAAACAGGCTCCAGGCTCTGAGCCATCAGCCCAGAGCCCGACGCGGGGCTCGAACTCATGGACCGCGAGATCGTGACCTGGCTGAAGTCGGACGCTCAACCGACTGCGCCACCCAGGCGCCCCATACACACGTATTTATTAATGAAACAGATTGGGTCCATGATTCTTTGAGTCTGGATCTGCCAAATTGGTTAACCCTTGATACAGTGGAAGGCACATAGGTTTGTGGAAGGGGGTAAATCAGGGCATCCCACTCATGGTGTGTCTGATAAGCACGGGTAGATGTCTCACATAACTCTGCAGTTAGGGTTCTGAGTCTGCTCTGTGGCACATGTACTAGGTTCCTAACTGGCATCATGACAGAGCCAGTTTGCCGCGACTAGTTCCTCCTTTTTTCTCTCAAACATCCTCTTTCTAGGCTGCCTGAGGCTTGAGGATGGATGGGAAGTGGCCTTCCTTCTGAGTGGAAGCCAGGAGTGAGTCGGAATCTGAAACTTTTAGACTCCCAGGATAATAACCAGAGCCCCCTTGTCATTCTGGTCGTTTGAGGCCAATCCTGGTAATCACGCATCTTCATGCAATCTAAAGAAAACCAAAGTTCCCTAGTGTCTAAGTGGCAGGAGCACTATAATCAAATGTGCATTTTAGAATGATTACTGGGGCAGAATGTGTAGTTATTATTAGAGCCTAGGAAACCAGAGGCAAAGAGACCAAATGTAGACTACTAAGGTGGGCAAGAAGAAAAACCTGAACTAAATAAAGTAGTTGCTGCATGAGATTTTGGGGAAAGGAACCAATTGCAGAGGTATCCTGAATACAGAATAGAAAGTCCATGGGGACCTGCTGGGAAGTGAGCACAAAAAGAAGCCTTTACTCTTGTTTAGGTAACTAATGGTGTTGCTGTTCACTGAGATGGGTGAATATAGGTGGAAGATATGCTTTGGAAAGAATATATTGAGTGTAGTTTAAATCAGGTGGAAATGCTAGCATCCAGCCATCTAGTTGGCAGCTGGAAATTCAAATCTGGAGTTCAGAAATGAGATCAGAAATATGATATGCAGACTTACAAATCAGATGATATTTTAAATCTTGGGTGTGGATGAGATCACCCAGGAAGACTGGGGCCAGAGAATGGGACCACAGATGGAACCATGAGAGCAACGGTATTTGAAGAACAAGGGGAGGAAGAGCCTATGAAGGAAACGGAGTCGGAACAAACAGAAGGAGAAGAAGGTGGTGTCATAGAAGTCCAAGGAGGAGGAGGCTTCAACTGGGCCACATGCTGATGAGAATAAGCTGAAGACCAACATTTACCCTCTCATTTTCATCAGAAAAACGAAAAAGCAAAAAGTTAGCAAATGTTCAATATTGATTAGTAAACTATTCCAGAGAAATCAGAAGATGAGCTGCTAATATTTCTTTTGTGTCCCTGTCCTTTCTCTAGATGCCATTCTAACTACTAAAGAATAAACAATGTAGCTACTGCTCCTGATCAGCAGGGACAGACAGCAGTCCCACATCCCTGTCTCCTCTCCACCCACATTGTTCCCTGTGTCCCCCCTGTTCTCTCTGTTCTGTGTTCTACAGCTGCTAGCTGGTTTGCAGAGCTCCCCTCCAGGATGACCCCACCTAATACCAAACCACAGCTACTCTTAGTTCTTTGCTATGCCTCTTCTATCCTTCCAGAAGCTCTAGGCTGGACGGTGAAAATTAAATGTGTATCTGAAAATAAATGCAAAAGAACTCCTGTAGCTTTAGGCAGCCACTGTGAGGTGTGTGTGTGTGTGTGTGTGTGTGTGTGTGTGTGTGTGTGTTAAGAGAATGTGCTAAGAGAAAGGGAAAAGGCATGACAGATCTAGAAAAAGAAAAATAAGGCATATCTAGAACATGATGTCAAATAATTATTAATAACACATAGTTATATCAGCTATAAAAATGAGATATAAAGACAAGAATGCTGTTAAAGTATCTCCTTAGAATCTTTTTCATGTCAATTTAACTCAGTAAATGCAACTTCCAAAATGTCTTTTTCACATTTAATATCTGACATCTGGATATTAGTTGCCCACAAATATGTGTCCGATCAAAGAGTTACGCAAGAAAAATGCTAGCAGCTGCACAGTGGATGAGCAGAGAAAGCAGTGAAATACTCTATAGTTGTGTCAACATAAGAGGCATAGAATATGGCAGGTGGAAACACATGAGAGCTGACACTCTTCTTTTCCCTCCACAGCAGAGCCACAGCCTTCTAATAATCAGCTCTGGATCATTATCCTGAGCTCAGTAGTAAGTGGGATTGTTGTGATCACTGCACTTACCTTAAGATGCCTAGTCCACAGTAAGTACTATCGTACTATCATTCTGACCTTCATTCCTGGAAGCCCAAACTCCATCAGTATGGGTCAGCATCTCTCTGAGGTTTTAGCCTCGGTTATAGCCTCCTCCTGTTTTATGGAAACTTTAGTGTCTCATTTATGTGTCTCACCAAGTTCTGTTCATCCACTGGACAGACGTTTCTCGGACACCTACTATGTGCCCCGTTCTCTACTAGGCACTGGAGTTACAAGTATGAGCAATCACTCCCCTCAAGACACATTCTAGTTTAGTCCTTTTATTTTCCCCCCAACTTTATATTTTCTTGGAGACGCTGAGGCCTGCTAACTAATTTGAAGACATTTCTGATGCAAAGTGATATTCTAATCTTTGATTTTCAATTGGATAAAAGTCAGAATGCCAAGGTTTGGGGCTAAGACTCATCCCACAGGTAGGATAAAAAGGTCTGGTGGGCTCAAGGATGATTTTGATACAGACTGCCCAGCCTTACCCCTCTAGTTCAGGATTTCCCATTCTTAATACTACTGACATTTGGGGCCAGATAATTCTTTGTTTTAGGGTTCTGTTCTGTGCATTGTAGCATATTTAGCAGCATCTCTAGGCTCTACTCACTATATGCCAGTAGCACCCCTGCCCCAGTTGTGACAACCAAAAATGTCCCTATTACATTACAAATGTTCCAGGGAAGGTGTGGGGGGAGGGGGTGGTTAGAAATCTCCCTGGTTTAAGAACCACTGACCTAGTTCTAACCCAGCAAAGGCTTGCTGAGATATATGGGCACCATTTAAGGGAAACTAACCTATCTAAATCTTTATTGTTTGTGCTTGTTTTCAAGGACCTGCTGCAAGGTGGAGACAAAGAGAAATGGGGAGAGCGCGGAAATGGAAAAGATCTCACCTGTCTACATAGATTCTGCAGAACCACTGTATGAGCAGAGCATCTGGAGGTAGCCTCTTTAGCTCTTCTCTACTAGGGTGGAATATATGAGATACATGGATTATGAGGCACAGTGCCTTCTTCCTCTCAGCACCAAATTTAAGCTCTTTCACCTACTACTACTAACCTGAATTAAAAACCTAATTCAGGTTACTCTAAACAGGTGATTGGCATCTCTTCTCCCCACATACGACTTGCTTATTGTATAACTTCTTTCTCTGCTGTACCATTCTGCCATGTTGAAATGTCTCCCTCTTGTCAGTCAACTCAGTGTCTTTCATTACCTATAAAACACTACTTTAAGTGCATCTTGAATATTCCTGGCCCAACTCCTTGTGCTGATCATTCCTTTTCCCCTGTATCCTTCACTGATGGACACTGATTGGGGTCACTTACTGGTCACTCTGTACACTGGTCACTCAGTAACATCCTCTTTGGTCTCCCTGCCTCTTATAGAGCCATCCTACTAACCCAGTAACAGAGCTAAATTTCATAATCACTTCTCCATGTCATTTTTCCCACTTAAAAACTCAGAAGAGACCCCCCCCCCCATGCCTTGAAAAGCTTGAAGACTTTGAACTTTCCACATTTCAGTTGATCTCTTTAGTATAAACATTCTCAGTTCTTTCAACTGTTCTCCATGTAGTAGTTCCAGAAGCTTCGTGTGAATACACTAAATGTCAACAAATGGAGTCCAGGACTTTAGATATGGTCTAATTCTACATACAATGAGAAAATTACTATCTGGGATCTGAAATGTTCTTTATGTTAAGGAAGACTAACACAACATCAGCTTTTTTTGAGTCACAGTATTAACTTACATCAATTTTGTATTATCCTAAACTACCCAGTTCTTTTCAGTAAGAGAAACATTAGAATCCAAGAGACTGATACCAGATCCAGGGTGGTTGATAGCCTCCGTAAACAGTTCCGTTTTGACTTACGAAGTTAGGGTGAAAAAGTATAAGAAATGCGAGTCTCTCTGCTGAATCATTAACTGTGAACTCGCAGGAAATATGGCAGATAAAAAAAACATGTTGAAGACACCATGAAGATAGTCAGCCAAATCCAGGATGTGAGAAATTATAAGACAAATGACCCAATTTCTTCAACAAGTAAATGGCATAGAAAGGGGTGTTATAGATCAAAAGAAACCTGAGACATATGAATGAAAAGTAACATTTGTTTCTTGTTTACTCTGTGATTCAAACAAGCCAATTGTCAAAATACATTTTTTAGGTAATTGGGGAAAATTGAACACCATCTGTATGTTAGATGTTAATGAATTGTTTATTAATCTTGTTAGATATGATAATGCTGTAATTATGCTAACATAAGCATCACCTATGAGAAATACATACATACTCAAGCATCTGCACATAAAATGATGTGCTACCTAGGATTTAAAATTATCTGAAGAAATTAAAATTTGGGTAGGCATAGGGAAAGATGAAACAAGAATAGCAGAAAATGCATAGTTGTAAGCTAGTGAGGAGGCCCATGAATTCACTGAATCTAGTCTTCTATGCAATGTATGAACCTCTCTGAAATAGGCTGGTGCCTTTGGGCTATTAGTATGAATGTAACTTTCTATAGTGTTACTATCATTGAAGAAATAAAGATGTTTTCACAGGGGGAAAAAAACAAGAGTCTATGGAGTTACCTTTACAAAACAAAAGGAAATTAAACACAACACCTGAGATTTATATAATAGATTTTGTTTTACAAAAGCATTATTTCATTTTAGTCTTATAAAAATCTCTATGAGCAAGTTCTTTACATCCATTTTATAGGAAAGAAACCTGAGGCACCCTCCCACAGGCTGAGTGATTTTCCCAAGGTCGGGCCGGCAAGGAGCAAAGCCAGAACTCAAACTGGGCATTAAGCTCCGGTTCCTTTCACACCATAGCAGCCTATACACATTTCCCCACAATAGTCTCTCAGTTTCCTATCCTGTTTTCTTTACAACTTCTTTAGGATGCTCTGTCCAGGATGTCCCCCTCAGTTCTGTGATTACCTAGAGCTTCCCTGACTTCCCTTATTAACAGTCTTCTGCTCAGTTGGCTGATACCTCATATTGAAGCCATGGGTCCAGTCTTCTACGTGGCCATCTTGTCCAGTTCAAGCAACAATGCCTTTGAACTGCTGTAGCAGTGCTATCTTGAGCACATCACATTCCATCCCGGGTTTATTTTCACATGCTGTGTCTTATACTCTTTACTAAAATTGTAGGCTTATTGAGAACAACCATGCCTGATATGTCTGTTTGCCTCATAGGTAGAAGAGTATTGCCTTGATCAATAGTTTGGTTGATAACTGGTGCTTAATATTTGTCTGACATTTCATGTATCAGAAATTGTCAGACTTGTCCTAAATTCTCCCATAATTCAGACTTCCCTTTATATTCTTTAGCCATCAAGATTAATATCTACAATGCCCCCTCAATTTGGGAGCACCTATGTGATACAAAATATAAAATTTTAAAATGTTTTCTTCCTTTGGGGATTTAGGGTTTAAAGTATTTTATTTGTTTGTTTCCTCAGGTCCCACCTCCATCTTAGATTGACCTCTTTGAATTTCCTCAGATGGCCAGGATTATCCCACCTTGTACTTCATGTATCTGTTTTCTAGGAGCCTCTTCATTTCAGTGGCTCTGCAGAAAGTGACTAGTGGAATACAGTGGGAACATTAGTAGCTCTGGTAGGCTTGGTCAAAGAATTTAGAAACACAGAATTGCTTGAGCCTGGAAGAGACATTTGAAAATACTTGTTAATGACAAGGACATCAAGGCCCAGGAGGTGACCTGAATGATCAAGGCCAGAGCCAGAACCCAGATTTCCTGTGTCTGGTGCTCTTTTCCATCATCAGTCTGGGTCTGTGGTATTAACTGGTGTATATATACATACACACCAGTCACAACGTTTCTGGAAAAAGAATTTGTCCAATGTCAGGCCAACTTTATGGACTTGATCTGATGCAACACTGAAGGACTTTATGTTGTAAAAAGCAATCTGATGCTAATGTGTGGGTAGTATGCTGGTATGTATACCAATATGAGGATGATGGAACATTGTCTATGTGTAGCCAGTATTTCATTTTCCTTTGTGCTCTCCTCTGTTGCTCTCCCACTTCTCTATCAGGTTCTGGAGAAAGACCTATCCAAAACTAATATCCTCTAACATGTAAGATGAATGACTTATACACTTCAAAACAATAGCCAGGTTGGAGAGGGATAGTCACATCCTACTGGTTCATATTGGACTGATAATCTCCTTAAATGGCTTCATGTTGTTTAACCTCATTTATAAAATATTTATGAGAAAGTTCTCATTTAAAATGAGATGGGTTTTTATTGTGTATTACTAAACAGTAAGCTATCTTTAGAAATTGAGGTAATGAAAGTAGCATTCCATAGGGCTTCCTCAGATCACTAAAGTGGCTTTTCCTCCTTGGCATTTCTGATCCTTCCGAGATCAGCAGAGAATTGAAAAGTGGCAAACTGCTACTCCTGTGTTACTTACTCATGACTCCCCTTTCTCTGACATTGCCTTCCACAACTCAGTGGACCAGGAAGTGGTCCTTGGTCCTAACTTAAGCTGGAGGAATCAGATATTCTCATTTGAAAATTTGAAGTTGGATAGCAAGTTGACCAAGTATCTCAAATATGGCTAGATTTAAAACATTTAATTTTGGTAGCTATAAAAGGACTGAATTATGCTATATAGTCTAAGAAACAGAAGTACACTTTTAAATGGTTGCTCTCAGAACAAAATCATGGAAGAAATAAAAGTAGGAGACTGACAAAAACTTTTAGCAAAGAAACAAAAAAAAGGGAGTTGCTGCATTTGGTTAAGATTAGTAATCCTTAGACATGATCAAAAGGAGACCTCAAGAAGTAGTCACAAAACAGAAGACACCTAAGAGAGCTTATTTATATTTAAAATAAGTTATATTGTTACTTATTACATTTGATAAATGTGTCAGTACTATTTTTTTCAAAAAGTGGTATTTTACCTTCATTCTGGTATTTTTGTGATATTAAAAAAAATATTTTAAAAACCAATCACTAGTTTTATAATTTCTAGTTGGGAGAATTTAATCTATATGTGTATATGAATAAAGCAATAAAGAGATTGAGTAACTGCCAATTTGTCAGCAATTTATGAATAGGATAATTAAGAAAAACAGGTTTTATGGAATGTGGTGAGAACATGTAAATCGTGGTAAAAATATACTTGTGCACAGGTTCTTCTAGCCTTATAACTACTACTATTTGTTTTTCTATCATCCCCTGTGGGCCAGGGCATTGTGTTACGCTCTACATGCATCATTTCATTTAATACCCATTGTGATATGGATACTGTTTCATTTGATACAGGGGAAAACTGAGACTTAAAGTAGAATGGCTTTGCTTTGGTCACATGGCTGCAAAGCCATAGATGCCAAGCCAGCGATTTGCCTCCAGAGCCCATGGTTTCAGCCATTACACCACGTGGCTACACAAACCTGGCTCCTGAAAATGGTTATTTTTAGGGCAGGAACTAAAAACAAAGAGGCCCAACATGAAAACAAAGCACTAGATGTACACTTAGTGCATTGCTCCCCCCTCATTTAGTAAAAGTTTCAGTCTGCATGAGAGCTTCCTTCTAAAGGAGCAAGCTCCTGCAATGTACAGACTGAATATCTATGCTAAGTATCTTCTGCATATTATAGCATAGACATTTTGTCAGCAACACTAAGAAGAAAAAAAGATGGGCTCCTTTTTTTTTTTTTTTTGTAATAATGCTTATCTACTTCATTTTTGTTAAATTTATATCTTATTTCAAATGACATAGGAATTATCTTTTTTATTAAAACAAAACCAAACCCCACTACACACTTAGGCCCACAATGTTTCTAGAATCCAAAGGCACAAGGATTTCATCACAGACCCATTTGCCTTACCTAGTGATACCTCCTCCTTCTAGTGACTAAGTATCTTTTTAAAAGGCTGCAAGAATAAACATACAATCCACAGATTTCAACTCCAATTTTGGGAAATTTTTAATTTACTATTGTAAAATTCAGGGCAAAGAAATATGTATTGATTGACCAGTACAGATACAATGCCAAATATATAGATCAATCAGGAAAGACTATGTATTTAAATTTAAGGATAAGTAAAGTGAGTGTACAATTGCCCAATTCTTGGTGAAAACAAAAGATAAGAGCAAGTCACTGCCACTAGAGGTGCCAGCACTTATATCTGTCAGCAGGCTGGCCAAGGAGAAGACTAGCCTTTGGCATTCAATGGACAGGGCAACATAGATCCCTTCAATTTGCCAATGAATTTTAAGTCCAGAACATTTTCAGTCTTTGTCTTGTTTAGTTGTTGATGAAGGGTTTCTAGGAAGATTTAGTAGTGCTTCAATTTTCTTAACATCATCTTTGGATCGATTTTTCTGTAAGCTACTTTCAATTTCTTCAGGGAGGAGTTCAGTAAATTGCAGTCTGGCTTTACTGTAATAAAAGAATGAAAAGGATATATCAAGTACTGCTCCATTTCTTTAGTTCTTAGATTTTTATTTTAGCTTATTTTTCTCTTAGAGAGCGAGTGTGTGCGCAAGTGGGGGAGCAGGGCGGAGGAAGACAGAGAGAATCTCAAGCAGGCTCCATGCTCAGCATGGAGTCAAACACAGGGCTCAATCCCACAACCCTGGAACACGCATGACCTAAGCCAAAATCAAGAGTTGGACGCTCAACCAACTAAGCCACCCAGGCGCCCTGATTTTTTTAAAAGATAGTATTTGTCGTCTTCTCCCTGTGACTTATGAGCAAACATTGCTCCCTGCACTTTAAATATAATGGACCTTCTTCGCTCTACTAACCTGTTCCACTCACATGCTGACTACGATTCTCATATCACCAAAATGGACACTGCTGTGGCGGCAGCTCTGATCCTTACGATATTCCAGAGTTCATACAGGGGTATCGTGCAGGAGCTGAAACACCCTGAGCTGAAGTGTGAGCCTTGCAACCTGGCTGTCCTGTTGCCCTCAGGGCTGGGGGGCATGTGACTGCCCTGCCACTTCATTAACTCTCTGTTGCCAGACCTTGTGGGAACTGCACAATGGTAAACTCAAGACGGAAACGTCAGATGGGACAACACTATAGATGTGTATTTACAAGGAATTAAAATCTAATTTCCAAATAACAGATCAGTTCTTTTTCTAAATCTAGTATTAGTGTCTTCCTTGAAGTGATTATCAAGGTCATCTATGACTTTCTTCTCAACTCTTCACAACCAGGTTTGACCATTTCTTCTTCCATATCTCTATAGCCAGTTTTCTGTATTTTTTTTTTTTCTAAAATTTTTAAATGTTTTTTTAAATTTATTTTTGAGAGAGAGACACAGCATGAGCAGGGAAGGGGCACAGAGAGAGAGAGAGAGAAAAAGAGACATAGACTCTGAAGCAAGCTCCAGGCTCCGAGCTGACAGCAAAGAGCCCAACACAGGGTTCAAACTCATAAACTGTGAGATCATGACCTGAGCAGAAATCAGATACTTAATCGACTGATCCACCTAGGTGCCCTGACCAGGCTTCTACATTTTCAGCTCACTAAGGCAATGTTTTATGTTCTCACTTTAACTTCTCTATGATTATTTTCAAGCAAAGAAGCAGGCATATAAGTTCTTAACTATTATTACTCTTCTCAGGAATATCATATATATACATACATACATACGTACATACATATATATATATATACATGTATATCTACACACACATAAATTTTTTACACTATTTCCTTTTGCCAAAGTATTTTTGCATTACTGTAATTCAATTCAAGTTATTGCTTTTAGCCATTCTTGAGGTTTTCTATCTCTGGTTTCCCTTTTTTATTGAAATACAATTATTATCTGTTCATATTTTTCCAAATGTTAATTCTTCTGCAACTTTCTATATCAAATTCAAATACCAATATACTTTCCCTACCTTTCCAATTTCTTAAAGTTTCATTTAAAAAAAAAAAACAAAAAAAAAGAAAAAGAAAAAGCTTCTGGGCTACTGGCTCGTCACAGGTCGCTCAAGTCATGATCTCATTGCCTATAATATCGCATCAGGCTCTGTGCTGACAGCTCAGAGCCTGGAGCCTGCTTCAGATTCTGTGTGTCCCGCTTTCTCTGTCCCTCCCCAACACATACTCTGTTCCTCTCTCTCTCTCTCAAAAGTAAATAAACATTAAAAAAAAAAAGCCTCTTATGACATCTAAAGAACTAGAAATAAGCTAACAACACTTTCATGCTTTTAATTCTCCACACCAGATTTTATACTGGCATTATAATTTTAAATGCTTTATCCCAGAACTTAGAAAACTACATATCTCACATACCCTCTTACAATGGAGAAGAGGAGTGAATGAAACAAATATGTATTGAGCATTGTGGTGTGATTCTGCCTATAGAATGGCTGAGAAAACTGAGGGCTTGAAATTAAGGAAACTAAGGTCACAGAACTAATTAATAGCCTAGCTGGGATTTAAGCTCTGTTTTCAAGGTTTAATTGGCTACAAAATCAATGCTTTTTCTCATATAGAACCTAAGTCCTTGGACAACTGATCTACAGATATTAAGAATTTCCATGTGTGGGGGCGCCTAGGTGGCTCAGTCGGTTGAGCGTCCAACTTCGGCTCAGGTCATGATCTCAAAGCTCGTGAGTTCGAGCCCCGCATTGGGCTCTGTGCTGAGAGCTCAGAGCCTGAAGCCTGCTTTGGATTCTGTGTCTCCCTCTCTCTTTGCCCCTAACCCACTCACATTCTGTCTCTGTCTCTCTCAAAAATAAATAAACATTAAAAAAACCAAAAAATTTCCATGTGTGTGTTTTTAGCACAAATCAAAGTTTTAAGTAAAAACATGGAAAAAAACAGACTGCTTATCTATTCAACATGGGGCCTGAACTCACAACCCTGAGATCAAGAGTCGCATGCGCCACCAACTGAGCCAGCCGGGTGCCCCAGAAACTCTTTGAATTGAGTGGTGGTTTAGAGTACCTGGGTTAAGGAGAACACCACAATGGCTAGGAAAGTCAGGTACCTTTATCTTCACCTGCTCCTTACCTCTCTTCCAATTTCAGCTCATGGAGTGCTTTGCGATCCTTCTGTGTTCTCTCTTGGACAGTCTCCCCGTAGAACTTCTGAAATGCCATCAACAGACTTCCTACAGGAGTGCTGAGGGGGAAGCAGAGAGAAAGCTTAGGAAAAAGCAGCCATTAGACCACACACCATGTGAGTGTCTGCTAAGGCAGGAGCAACACCGACTGAGCCACTTATTCCCTGACAGGTACAGGAACTCTGACAAAGTGTCCTTGTCAAATGAAGAAAAAATTATTAAGGCAATTTCCTTCCTGGTCTTCTAAACAGTAGAGAAAAACAATCACTGCAACTTCCCAAAATTAACTGGTATAAAAACAACAGGCCTATAAATTGGCTGTTTTATCATGAATGATAAACTGGGAAAATATATACTTGTGACAAGTTCTAGTAAGTAGCTTTATACTGAAGATTTCTCAGAAATGAAATTGTAACAGGAATGGTACCAAAACCTCCAGAAGGCAGGAACTGTGGAGGGCATATTTGGTTGGAGGAAGGATACCACTGGCTTCTGGGGATGGAACCACCAAAACATCCTAAAGTTCAAAAGTCTGGCACAACAGTCTCACCCACACTGTCAATAGTTACCCATTGAGAAACTGATTTAGATAACAATTATTACGGTAAGTTAAGGGTTTGGTTCTTATGTTCTCAAAGAAAAGGAGTTTTTGACTCTGAGATAACTTAAGTTCCCTCTGGCTACAACATAAGTAAGCTCATTTGAAAAATTACTGTAGCTAAGTGGCAAAGTCCATTGACAGACGGATAAAGAAAATGTGGTATCTACAGCCTTTAAAAAGATCCTGTCACATGCTACAACATAGATTAACGTTGAGGATGTTATGCTAAGTAAAATTAAGCCAGTTACAAAAGGACAAATAATATATGATTCCATTCATATGAAGTATCTAAAATAGTCAAAATCAGGGCGCCAGGGTGGCACAGTTGGTTGAGCATCCCACTCTTGATTTCAGCTCAAGTCATGATCTCATGGTTCATGAGTTTGAGCCCTGTGTCGAGCTCCATGCTGACATGTGGAGCCTGCTTGGGATTCTCTCTCTCTCTGCCCTTATCCCAATTACACACTCTCTCTTTCTAAATAAACAAACTTAAAAAATAGTAAAGTAGTCAAAATCATAGAAACAAAGTAAAAATGTGGTTGCCAAAGGCTGGGGGACAAGGGGAAGGGAGAATTAATGTTTAATGGGTACAGAGTTTTCAATTTTGCAAGATGACAAAGTTCTAGAGATCTTTTGTACAATAATGTGAATATAAAAACACTACTAAACTACACACTTAAAAATGGTCAGGCTGATAAATTTTATGTTATGTGTTTTTTTTTTTTTTTTTAATGTTTATTTATTTATTTTTTAACGTTTATTTATTTTTGAGACAGAGAGAGACAGAGCATGAACAGGGGAGGGGGCAGAGAGAGAGGGAGACACAGAATCGAAAGCAGGCTCCAGGCTCTGAGCCATCAGCCCAGAGCCCGACGCGGGGCTCGAACTCACGGTCCGCGAGATCGTGACCTGAGCTGAAGTCGGACGCTTAACCGACTGCGCCACCCAGGCGCCCCTATGTTATGTGTTTTTAATGACAATGAAAAAGAAATTATTTTTGCTGCTAATTTCAACAATTTTTCCCTTCAAGCCAAGATGGTATATTAACAATATAACAAGTGGTGCCTGGCTGGGTCAGTCAGTAGAGCATGTGACCCTTGCTCTTGGGGTCCTGAGTTCAAGCCCCACGTTGAGGGTAGAATTTACTAAAAAACAAACAAAACACAATATAACAAAAATCATGTCAGCGATAGATTATGACATGCTGAATTTTTAAAAATAATTTAAAAAAGGAATCCATAAGTCTAGTGTAACTTCCTCCTAAAAAGGGGGTAGAAAAAGGGAGAGGGTAGGTGGAGGCGAAGGGAGAACTCAGGTGAATGCCAGCTAATAAAAACAGAAGAAAAGACAGAACTAACAAATCATTTTACAACCATCAGTAATAACTGATTATGGCAACAATTATAATAGATTAAAACCACTAGAAAAAAGATAGCTGGAGAACATGCTATTCACATAGTCTTACCCAAGATTATTTACTAATCACAATGAGAATAACAGAAGTCTTTCAGTGGAGAAATTTAAGTCAATACTAAATATGGTAGGCAGAATTCTACAATAGCCCCCCAAATTGTCCTGCCCTAATTCCTCAACTATAAATTATACCCATGATTCTGTTACATAGCAAAATTTTACAGATGTAATTAAGGTTAGTAATCCGTTGAATTTGAGTCAATCAAAAAGGAAATTATCTGGATGAACCCTTTAAAAGCAGAGAGTTTTCTCTGGTGGCAGAGAGAAGTCAGAGAGATTCAAAGTATGAGAAGGATTCAACATACCAGTTGCTGGTCTGAACACAGAGGGGGCACTGTGGCAAGGAGTATGTATGCCTCTAGGAACACTGGTGTCTGGCTGACAACCATGCAGGGAACAATAACTTCAGCCCTACAGCCACAAGGATTCTGTAAACAACCTAAATGGTGTAGGAGCAGATTCTTCCCTAGTCCAATAAGAGCCTGCCTCATCCATACTTTGATTTTGGCCTTGTAAAACTCTGAACAAAGAGAGCCCATCAGCCTCCTCAGCCTTCTGACCTACAGAATTGTGATATAATAACGGGTGGTTTCCAGCCACAAAAGTTTGTGGTAGTTTGTTACACAGCAATAGAAAAGTACTGCACCAAGTAATTAACATCACTTACAATAGGTGAAGACAATATGTATCTTGATGTGATACACCGAGAAGGACTAACTTCACCTACACTGTATTCCTGACGAAAACATTTAACCTAAATCTACTCATGAAGGGATAATGAAAAGAAATTGGGAAATTTTCTGGGGGAAAAAGAGCAGTGGATCTATTCTAGCTTAAAGGAATCAAAACTGTAAATGCAATATGCAATTGGATCCTGAATTAAATATATGTATGTACGGCATTATTATAATAATTGAAAATTTTTGAATATGGACCATATCTTAGCTAGCTATATTGAATCAATGCTAAATTATTTACTGTGATGATTATACTGTGGTATCATTGGTGAATGTTCTTCATTTCATCCTGGGAGATACCAGCTAATGTATTCAGAGGTGAAGAATTATGAGGTCTCTACCAGTTTAGCCAGAAAGAAAAAAAGAGAAAGAAAAAGAAATTTACACACATTCCACACATATACAGAGACATACAACAAATATGACAAAATGTTAACTGGTGAACATAAGTGAAAAGAGTATATGGGTGTTTGATGTACTAATTCATTCAACTTTTCTGTAGGTTCAAATTTTTTCAAATTAACAAGCTGGAGAAGAAAAATTTTTTAATTTATTAAACAAACAAAATCAAACAAAAAAAATTTTTAACGGAATGTGCTTGTTAATTGTTTCTTATTATTTTCCTGCTCCTTGTAAATACCATTGTTCAAATTACAAATAGGTTCAGGTGTTAGTGATATCTAAGCAGTGATAATTGGAAGCAAAATCAACAACTGGGGTAAGATTAGAATTTGACAGTCAAAGCGACAGCCAATACAAAACTGAAGGCCTTTTATAGGCTATAAGATTTAAATTTATTCTTTAGAAATGCATGAGATTTTTAACAGTAAGGCATTAATGAAAGTTGTGTTAATTTAGTATCAAACCATATTAACACTTACCCTAGCAAGGCTCCAATTATGCCACCAGCCACCAGACCACGCAGGCCTAAGTTTATTCTAAAAAGGCTTCCTGTGACAGCTATTTTAAAACAAACAAACAAACAAACAAAAAACCCAATATTAAATTATCTTTAAGTACTAGAATCCATTTAAAAAATTTTTCTTCTATAAAAAGAACATAAACCGCTAAGTAAGTTTTCAGAACCCATTATCAATAATACATCACCACAACCTAGATTTCCTGAATCTAAAATGCCAAGGGCGCCCAGGTGGCTCAGTCGGTTGAACGGCCGACTTCAGCTCAGGTCATATCTCGTGGTCCGTGAGTTTGAGCCCCTCATCAGGCTCTGTGCTGACAGCTCAGAGCCTGGAGCCTGTTTCAGATTCTGTGTCTCCTTCTCTCTGACCCTCCCCCATTCATGCTCTGTCTCTCTCTGTCTCAAAAATAAATAAACGTTAAAAAAAAAAAATAAAAAATAAATAAATAAAATGCCAACACAGCTAGTTTCTCTTCCACACTGCAGGTTCAAAGGAAGAAACATCCCTTTTACAAACCTAATTTTTGTATATCCGTTCTACGGGTCCAACCTCTTCTCATTCTGCTTCATTTTTGCCCACCTCCCCTTAAAAATCTGTAATTTCTTCACTCCCATCTCTTCAGTTTCATCCTTCTTCAAGAAAAGCTTTCCCCAAAGAACAAAAACCCCTGCAGTTTGTACCTTGCTCCAGTCTCACCCTTTCTGTCCTGCTACACACCCCTCAGGCAGGCCTGCAAGTGGGCATTTGGTCCACAGTGCCACCAGGTGGTCAGTACACAGGCTCCCTTTCCTTCCCACTGGTCTGGTATATCCAGGACGTCATTCATTTTCCTCCCTCACTATGCACAACACAACTAATGCATCTCATGTAGTAACATTTTTAAAAAAACAATTGAGACTTATGTGTCTTAAGTACTATTTGTTTTTTTTAATTTTCTAAATTTTAAAATTAACAAGAAAAAAAATCACCTTTAATTAACATTACCCAGAGATGGTAATAAATTTGGTCTTTTTTTCAAGTCTTCTTTTCCAAAGAAAGCATTTTTTAAAAAATAAAATATTGGGGGGGGAGGGGTGCCTGGGTAGTTCAGTTGGCTAAGCAACTGATTCTTGGTTTTGGATCAGCTCATGATTTCAGGGTTCATGATTTCGAGCCCCCTGTAGGGCTCCATGCTGTTGAGCTTGCTTGGGATTCTCTCTCTCACCCTCTCTCTCTGCCCCTCCCCTGCTCACTCTGTCTCTCTCAAAATAAATAAACTTAAACATATGTGTGTGTGTGTGTATTTTTTTTCTTTCTTTTTTTGTAGGGGTGCCTGGGTGGCTCAGTTAAGCAGCTGACTCTTGATTTCGGCTCAGGTCATGATCTCACAGTAGTGAGATGGAGCCCCGCATAGGACTCGGCGCTGGGTGTGGACCCTGCTTAAGATTCTTCTCCCCCTCTTCCTCTGCCCCTCCCTCACTCATTCTCTCCCTCTCTCTCTCTCTCTCAAAAAAAAAATAAATAAATAAAAAATAAAAATAAATACTTTTTAAAAAGCTCTCAGAATAGCCAGAATCTAGAAGACTGACAACATTAAATGATGGCAAGGATGTAGAGCAAAAGAAACTCTCATTCATTGCTGGTTGGAACACAAAATGGTACAGTCACTTTAAAGACAGTCTGGCAGTTTCTTACAAAAACGAACATATTCTTACCATATGATCCAGCAATCACGCTCCCTGGTATTTACCCAAAAGAGCTAAAAACTTGTGTCCACACCAAAACCTGCACACATTTATAGCAGCTTTGTTCGTAACTGCCAATACTCGGAAGCAACCAAGATGTCCTTCAGTAGGCAATGGATAAATAAACTGGTATATTCAGACAATGAAATATTATTTAGCACTAAAAAGAAATGAGCTATCAACTCATGAAAAGAGACTGGAGGAAACTTAAATGCATATTGTTAAGTGAAAGATGTAAATCTGAAAATGTTATATAATATGTAACTTTCTAGAAAAAGGCAAAACTATTGAAACAGTAAAAAAAAGATCACCGTTTATCAGGGGTTGGTGGGCAGGACACATAGGTGGAACAGACTTTTAGGGCAATGAAAATGCTCTTTATGACACCGCAACGATGGATACATGTCATCATACATTTGTCCAAACCCACAGAATGTACACTAAGAGTGAAACCTAAGGGAAACTATGGACTTTGGGGGATAATGATGCATCAGTGTAGGTTCTTCAACTGTAACTAGTATCCCACCCTGGGGTAAAATGTTAATAGTGGGGAGGCTATGTTTAAGTGTGTATGTTGGGGGGGGCGGAATACAGTAAAACTTTGGATTGCAATTTACTTGTTCTGCGAATGTTTCACAAGATAAGCAATTATTTCTAGTAAATTTCAACTTGATAAACGAGCAAAGACTTGCAATATAAGTAGCACCTGACACTGAATGTCACATGATCACAACTGAGCCAATAGTTCTCTCTCTTTCTCCCTCTCTGGGAGATTGTGGGTGATCATCTCCCATGCTCGTATGCTCAGTTTCAGGCTTTTCAGAGCATGGTAAATCAGTGATTTTTCAGAACATTGGAAGGTGCCCACAACTGGCACTAGTGTATTTTTTGTCACTTCAAAGAACCTGTGGACAGTCCTTTGCTTTTCCATACAAGAGTAAGCTTAGGAATGCTTTGCTTCATTCTATGTCAGGCTGCCTGCAGATATAGACCCTTCCCTCTGTTGTCTTATGCTGAATACATTAAATACAGTATATGACAAGAGTTTATTAATACTGTACTGTAATCAACATCCGTTAGTAATAGTTAAAGTTGTCCTACACAATAATCCTCCTCTCTCGTCTCCCTCAAACCAGCCACAAAGATTTTCAAAGGTAAGTGCAGGTTAATCTATTTTTCTTTATATTTTGTACTTTCCTTATTCATTTGTATTATATTACAGTATTGTAATCATTTTTATATGAATATTTGTGAGTTGTGAAACAAATCATCTGAGTTTCCATCATTTCTTATGAGGAAATTTGTTTTGATATACAAGTGCTTTGGATTACAAGCATGTTTCCGGAATGAATTATGCTCCCAAACCAAAGTTTTATTGTATATGCAAAATCTTTGTATCTTCTGCCCAATTTTACTGTGAATTTAAAACTATTCTAAAAAATAAAGTCAGTTAAAAAGGGGGGAGGGAGTAGTGAGGCTTATAAGCTATCAGCAGCCAAACATCAGTCAGACTCTTTATTACACAAACTCTTTATTACCATGTGTTCTGTAAATAGTTTACTTTTTTTTTTTCGACCTTAGTGTTTATTTCTTTTTCTTGCCTGAATGCACTGGTTAAAGTCTCCAGTATAATGCTGAATACAACTGTATTCATCTCAAGTATACACCTTAATTACAAGTGTATACAGCTTTCCCATGTTCTCAGTCTTAGGGGAAAATCATTGTCTTTCACCATTAAATATGATGTTTGCTGTAGGTTTTTTAATAGATGATAGATGACCTTCGCTGGGTTAAAGAAGCTCCCTTCTATTCCTAGTTTGTTGAGAGTTTTTATCATGAATGTTGGATTTTTGTCAAATACTTTTCTAAGCTAACCTTAAATTCCTTGGATAAATTCTACTTGGTTATAGAATATAATCCTTGGTTGTTGCTGGATTTGGTTTACTAATATTTTGTAAAGGATTTTTGTGTACATACTTTTCGTTTTAAAGTAATCTCTGTACCACCTCACACTGGTCAGAGTGGCTAAAATAAAATGAACAAATCAGGAGACTGTAGATACTGGAGAGGATGTGGAGACACTGGAACCCTCTTGCACTGTTGGTGGGAATGTAAACTGGTGCAGCCACTCTGGAAAACAGTGTGGAGGTTCCTCAAAAAATTAAAAATAGATCTACCCTATGACCCAGCAATAGCGCTACTAGGAAT